GAATGACTCTATACCCTCCCCCTGTGCCAAATGTTTAATATTTATTTAAGTTATCTATTGTTTCGATTGTGTGGTTTTTATTTCATTTAATATATATAATATTTTCACTTCAATATCTGAATATTCTTTAGAATTAAAAGTTCATTGCTCTTTGAAATGGTGTACTTTACATTCTTATGTTTATCATTATATCTGTGGCATAAACTGGTCTTAAAATGACAATAACATTGTTTACCGCACTCATTTCTGGGACAATATGAGAGCAACAAAGGTGACGCGACACCAACCTCAAAGGCAGCTGAAATGATTTTGGCCTTCTTGCTGAGCGCTGCTCCAACTGCGTTGAAATTTTTGTCCCGTATTTCTGCATACAGTTCCTCTGCTGAGTTGAGCTGTAACTTCTTGGCCTCTGTGGGTAGATCTTTACTCGCCTCACCTTGCTTCTTCTGTGCAAACTTCTCAGGAGGCAACTTTACATAACCTGTCAGTCAGTGGGAGCAAAAACAACGACTGGATATAAAAAAAGAAGTAGACATTCAAGAATCACATAAATACATATAGACACTATTAAAGTGCCATGACATCATAGTATCATTCACACTTAATGAGGAGTCAAAAAGGTTTATTCTGACCGTTGTTGATTCCATAGATCTCGTCAATAAGACCCTCATAGGTGAGCTGTGTGGCCAGGGGGGTGAGCAGGTCAACATTACGGTCCAGGAGGAGCAGAGTGTCGAACACAGGCAGGATCTGATTCTGACTGCCGGCAAACTCCCTCTTCATCCTCAGCATCATGTTGGCAACATGCTGAGAACAAGCAGAACATTTCTTCCTCAAACTAATTCTTTCACCTGGCTGCTGCTGAGCCTCTGTGCAATCATCAGTACAGTTATTAGTGTATTATTTGCAGCACACTCACCCGTGCACATTCTCCTTTCCCATATATCTGTGGAATGGTGCCATACAGTGCCTGTAAGGTCATGAGACCTTTGGCTGTGTGGTAAAGGCTTGTTTGGTCATTTTCTAAGTAGCACTCCTTTAAGAGACAAAGGGGTGTAAAAACGACAGTTAGAAATACACCACAGCTTTTTTAGATATTTCTGTACGGTTATCTTTATGTTATTGTGTTAAAATATTGGTTATATTGCTGTTGATTTGAAATCTAATCCTCACTTTGTAACAACACATATATACTTCATTCATAGAGCAGCTGGTTGATACATGTTGAACACACCCTGAAAGCGCTTTCATACTCCATGGAGAGCAGGTCACCATCATAGGGAATCAGGTCCAGGATATACTCGTCAATGTTGATGAAAGAGCCCAGCACGCCCTGCTCCTTCAGCCGCTGTTCACACAGCATGCTCCGCCGAGGCACAAACAAAATGTGGAAGTCTCGGGACGAATGCAACTTGTCCTCACTAAAAAAGAAAAAAGTGCACAATCCAGGACGAAAGGGTTAACTGCTGTGGCAGAAAGGACAATTCCTCTTTTACACAGTGTGGATTGAAATTGGGACACATCAACAGACCTGAATACATTCTCAGCAATGATGTCCATGAGCTCCAGCCTGGGACGAACAAAGAAGATGATATTTTTGACGTCTGCAGAGGGAAGCCTGCCGCTCTTGAGGGTGAACATCTTTTCCACTTCATGTTCCTTAAAAACAGTAATAAACATTCAACATGTGTCTGATTCAAGGTTATTTTATTGTCATTTACAACACAGGGTTGTACAATGAAATGTTCATAGAGTTCCCTCTATGCT